CAGAGGTTTCGTCAAGGGTTTAGTCAATCGTCAGGGGTTTCGTCAATCGTCAACAGTTTCGTCAATCGTCAAGGTTTTGTCAGGTATGTAATTTGACGATACCTTTCGTCAATTCAAAAATAATTTCGTCAAGCATCTTTAGATTGGATTAAAATCACATGTCCACGGACATTTTATACGGTTGCTATGTATAATTGCATAAGTGTCTAAGTGCTGAGCAAAACAAAAAATATCGCTAGTATAGTATAATATTTATAATTTAATTTAAATAATTTTCAACTTCACACTTTTTTAGCATTAAAATATGGCATGCCCTGTAATTCCTCGAGAAGAAATAAACATATTTTTGTTCGGTGAAACTGGTGCAGGAAAGTCTACGTTTATAAACGCCTTTGCAAATTATTTTCAAATTGGTAATTTTGATGATGCAATTTCTATATTAAAATCACTTGAAAATTCATAATGCTGAGTAGCAATAATACTTTAAGCACTGATTATGTAAATGATTTGGGTGGTTATGCCTGTGCCAGAAAGGTTTGTGGTATTCGATGTTACATATTTACGATCTTATTGTATTCCAAAATTAACAGTAAATATGTTCCAATTAATATAATACATTATGTTCTAACATTAAACTTTTCCGTTTCTTTCTGCTACTTCATATTCTTCATAAAATTTTTTTCAATGTATTACAATATTGAACATAAAAAATTACAACATTGTGAAACTATAAATTTTAATTAACATGTGCAAAAGAAATCCGCTAAATGTTTGAAAAATAGATATAATAAATACTTATATCATAAGCATTAAACCAGGAGCTTTTGGCACGTTTAATAGTGCTAATTTAATTGTGTAAGGTGTTAAGAAACAAATAGACATGCAAGAAGCATTGCATTACCAAGAGAATTAATGAAAAACGTTAACACCAATGAATATAAGTTGTATTCAGAAAGTCAGCAGTCTAAATTATTAACGATTTGCATTACATACCATTGTTGCATTAAAAAATTTGTCAATTATAATAGCAACAGAAAAATTACGCATAATATAGAGAAAGTCAAATAAATTTTAAATAGCAACTTACGATGTTATAATGTTTAGTAATCTGATTCTTTTTCTTTAACTTTCTATTTCCAGACTTAATGCGCCTCTTCATAATGTTTTAAAAATTTGTATTTGGAGGTGAAATTTTGATCACATTCAAGGCATTGTCTTAGCTTTGATTCTGGAGACTCGACCGATTTCTATAATCAAAAAAAATATATATATATATAAATGAAGAAGATATCATAAGCTGTAATACTGTATCTATACCTGATTAATGACATCTTCGATACATTTAATATGTAATACAAATTCTGGTAAAATTTCAAGATCTTTCCAACCATGATCATAGCAACGTAAAACATTAGTTCTTGTTTTTTTGTATACCCAAATCTTTTTATTCTTTGGGTCAATTATCCATCCCAATTTTACAGAAGTTCCTTCTCCAAAGTAAACGTCTCTAAATTTTGAATCTAATTTATCAAAATCAGATTTGTTTTCGATCACTCCAACTTCAACAATAAAAATTGGTGTGAATGGTTCTCCACGAAATGACCAACGTTGTTGTTCAGTCAAATTACAATATATATTTCTAGGCATAAAGGCTACGTCTGGTGCTCTTATTGTTTTTCCCCTGCTATTAAAGTTGAAACCTCCTTGCGATGTAGTGATAGCGCCATTTTGGTATGTTTGTTCATTCCAGCGGTCAAGTCGAGAAGCAATTTTTGCAACGACAACTTCTGCACAAATTGTGGCTTGCGGCATAGGAATTAATTTTCCAGTATTATCAAATTCAAAAAGATCAATGGTTTGTCCTTTAATTTCCAAAGGAGCACATGTCTTTAGCTCTTCGTTTAATATTTCAAACTCCTGGAATGTATAATGGTGGTCAAGGTCCAGATCTTCGAGTTGTAATTTTTCGTCAACTTCAGACATTTTTGAAAATTTTGGAAGTTACTTAAGTTACTTATTTAAAAAGTTTTGGGTATTTAAAAATTAGATAATCTCATTACACAAAGACTGAATATACCGTAAAAGATCTACAATAACAGATGAGGGAAAACCCCTTCATTGTGCTTATGAAATTAGTCTAAAAGTTGATTTAGTGTAAAGTTTATACATAGCGATAATATGTTATCTCCATTTGGATTCAAACATCTTTGCTTTTTGCGACGTACGTTTAAATAATGCATACATATTCAATATAATGTGCAAATGGTACTATCAATGTTTTAAACATCATAATCTTACCAATAATCGTTATATTATTAAATATAAATAATAAAATTATCAAATTTATGAGGAGCTAATTTTTCAGTATTTTTAGATAATTAGAAAAGATCTTGTTAAAAGTAAACTTATTAACATAAATAATAACCCAACAAAATTAAGTCATTTACATTTCTTTTATATTTTCTTGCATTTGCTATTTTGTTGATTCTCATTATTATGAATCTTTACAATATAAAAAGTTTGTACTGCTATAAAGCTCTTTGTAGTTCAGGATAGGAAAAATTAATTTATCTAAATGCTTTTCACGAAGTTGCTTTCAATTAAATATTACTACAGCATGACATTGTTGTCAAAAGTGCTAATATAGGCTAAAAGTGATTTTTTTGAAATCAATCTATGCCGTAAATTCGGTAAATAAATGATTAAAAAAAAATCACTCACCAAAAGATTCATCAGGAATTTCGAGGTTCGGAAAACTCCAATCTGCTAACGCTTTCATGATCTCTTGCGTGTTGATAAATTTACTCGTGTACATGTGATTAGGGTGTTTTTGCGCTACAATCGAAAATTCCTTGATCACCTTACCAGCATCCAAAAATTGCTTTTTAGTATCATTTATATAAATATTTTCCATTTCTTCGGTCCATATAGTAATTAACACAGGTAAAACTATAAACCTTTTCCAAATGTGTTATATTAGAAAATTTTTATAAAGAATAGTGAGTTATTCCTAAA